AATTATACAAGACGGGAGATTTCATCATATATGAAATAGGGAGTTGCTATATATATATATATATATATATATATATATAGTTTTATCTACTTGGTCCTCTTGAAAATAAGTAAACAAAACTTGTCTAAATTATTTGAGACATGTCTTAATGAAAACATGCAATATATATATATATATATATATATATATATATATATATATATATATATATATCCAAGTACAGGGTTCGTACAGATGGAATAAAATTCCGATAACCAAAAACACTATTTTTAAAAGAGTGCTCAATAATAAATAAAACTACTGACAAGGTACAGCGATTAATTTTTTTATTTAAGTTTCTTCTTTTCTGGGCATAAATTATTAAAAAATTGTATAAATGTTTTGAATGTCCGAGCGCTTTCGGCTATGCTTTTAGGCATTATCAAGGATCATTTTATTTTTACTTTTGAACGTATTGTTTTTTGCATGTCAAAGACGAAAATTATAAGAACACTAGAAACATTAAATAAAAAACTTAACCGCAGTACCTTGTCAATCGTTTTTCATGAAACATGTATAAAAGAAGGATTACTACCCAAATACACAATTATTATGTGTGTGTGTATGTATGTATGTATGTGTGTATGTGCTCCTCATATTAGACCAACTAAATGAATCAAATAATTAAGAGTTTAGAACTTCCGTCTATAAAAATTCAAGCAATTTACATCCACCGTACTTGACTAAAACAACGAATGTCTGCACAGATACAAAACAGTCATCTAATAAAATAGTGAACATTTAATATCCTCGGTGCATAGCATAGTTCTTAACAAACTCAAAGGCATAAAACAAATATTAATTGGCAATAATTTCTTCCAACCACATAAGTGATAAACAAATTAAACTATCCTTGGAAAAATAAAGTCTATAATAATATAAGCCAGGGGTTGACAACCTTTTACTATGTGCCGACTTAGGGTTTTAAAATCATTCAGTGTGCCAACAGTATACGTATTTTTATACAAGTCAAGGTCAACATACCTCTTCTATAATATATTTTATATAGTAATATATACAATAATATGTAAAGCGCATTAATAGAAAGAAACTGTTTTTAAAAATTTTCTAAAAGATCTTTTGATGTTCCATACTCGTTTTGATTTCTCTGTCAGATTTTCTCTTGTCTGTTGTTACTCTACACATTTAAATTACTGTAACTGCTTAGTTTTTGATATCCCTGTTGCCTAGTTCAGGGGTCGGCAACGTTTTGCTGACTATGTGCCAATTTAGGGTTTTAAAATCATTCAGTGTACCAACAGCATACGTATTTTTATACAAGTCAAGTTAAATATACCTGTTCTACAAATTATTTTATATAGTAATATTTAGTATATATACTTTATTATATATTAAAATTGAAACAGCTAAATATCTTCTTTGCGTTGTAGTAGTTATTGGTTCGGATTTCGTGACGTCATTTGCGGCTGCATGCCATTGGAAATTGCTTGGCGTTCCACGTGTGGCACGCGTGCCGTAGGTTGCCGTCCCTTGATATAAGCAATAATACTATAAAAAAAAAATGCTACTAAGCAAAGCCACCTAACGACCAACTAGATGAAAGAAACCGACCAATTTAAATATATCCGTAAGTAGTTAATATTAACTGCTTTCCAAAATATGTAGCAAAAGTGCTTGATATTAAATAAAGTTTATATAAAATATGAAAAATATTATCTGCATCTTCACAATTTTTACCCTGGAAACATAGTTCGACAGACCATGTCAGAAATGTTTATTTTTAATGGCGCCCACAACATGCGTACTTAATGCGGTATGAACTATTCTCTTAACGAATCCAGATATAGGCTTCATCCCAGTGCCATATTAGCCAATAGCCATTTTTGGCGTATACACATCCCAAATGTCTAACCGATATTTGATTTAATAGTTCGTTGAGTCTTGGTAGCAACAAATTTGACAGTTCCCTTCTTGACATAATCTACAAATCTTTTTTCCTATAGTGTAACTCATTTAGGCTTATTCTTTTTTCAATTACGTTCCACCTTTTGACCTCAAATGTTTCTCCTATTTAACGTTCCAAACTTATTTAGACAGAGCAGTGCTATTGCGATACTTACTCAACTTCAAATATATCATTTGGTTATAATATCAGTGTTTAAATTGGCATTTTGTAGAACGAATAAACGTCATAGTAGGAAGTCCTGTAAATTTGATCTGTGCTTTATATATGATGCTACAAGTTAAACATTGTCCATTGAGGGGTTAATTTTCCCGTCTTCCGCAGTTCTAATTAGGTATATTAATAACTGGTTTACTGTTTAATAATTTTTGATCATGCACTTTGATAATGGTTTGCATGTTCCATCTATAAAAGCTCTATCATCACAAATTTTTAACTGCACACACACGCACACACATACACATAATAATGGAGGCGCTTCGATGTCGTGTAATGATTAGCAAGGTAACCCGAGTTCGAAATCCAGTCGAATCCATTAAATTCACTTACGTGCTGATACCCTTGGGAAAGGTATGGATCCTGTTCTTCTCCTCCCAGCTATGGGTAAATAGCAGGAGAGACTGAGTTCTATATCCTTGGATAGCAACTGGTCTACCGCTGAAAGAAATGGCAGCCTACAGCGGGAAAAAAATCAGCTTTGTCAGACATATATCGAAAGATACATGATCACCTAAGCGTGTATCATGCCTGACATATAACTGAGTGAGTTCGATCCTAATTTCGGCCTTGTATCATAACTAAGCTATGCTTTGTAAATCACTATATATATATATATATATATATATATATATATATATATATATATAATTTTCTGATGGTCAACACCCAGCCTTAGTCATGCAGTGCGGATTTTTATGTTCACACTGTTTATGTCTACACACGTTCTATGCCAGAAATTTTAATGCCTCTCAGTTACCTACCATAGAGAGACCTCCCTACCTCCTATCAGCGTGGTTGATGTTCAACTTCATGAGAGCATCTCACTGTGCCTTCTTGGACTCACGTTTTCCTCTTACCCGAGGTGAAACAACTACATTGAATCAATAGCTGCATCTACCGCAAGGAAAGTTGGTTCTTTGTGTTTATCTCGAGATTCTCGACAAAATACAAAGACTAATATGCAATGAGATCGGTCCTGACCTAGCATCTCGACACTTTCTCAGTCACTTTATCACAAACGTGATGTGGCTTCTTTTCTACAAATATATTCATGTCAACTGCTCTGACGAGATATTTTCAGTGGTGTCCGGACTGCATGAATCTAAGCATACTACATCTCAGTCCCACTATTTTACTGCCGAAGCAGATAAAGTTAACGACCTCTTCTACTCCAACAGCTTCTTCTCTCACACTTTCCAACAGTGGAACTCCCTTCCTCTTGCTTGGTTCCCTGATAACTATAATCTTCAAAGATTTAAATGTAATTTCAATCTACATCTTCTGATGTCTTGAACTCGATCCCCGTTCTTCTCTTTATTCTTTCCTCATTTCCCCATCTTTTCTCTTACTTTCAATCTCTGTAAGTTCTTGCGTGCTAGTGGCACTCCTATCTTTCTTGGGGTGAAATGCTTAATATATATATATATATATATATATATATATATATGTGTGTGTGTTGTAGAGTAGTTTCACAGTGGAGGCTTGTATTTATGCTAAGTCGGTCCTAGAATAGGTTCGACGTAAAAAACATTAGGAACTTGGTATAATAGATAATGACGCAGAGAAATCTAGTTGTGGTCGCTGATACTTTTAGTATCCGACTAACGGTCGTCCGGCATCGACTAACTGACCAACTCCCAGCGACTCCTACTACTCCTACTTATTATAGGTGGGAGAGTCTATTAACAATAGAATAGGTGTGTTCCACTATAACACACACACACACACACATATATATATATATATATATATATATATATATATATATATATGGGTGAAATGCTTAAAATAGAAATATATATATATATATATATATATATATATATATATATAGAGAGAGAGAGAGAGTCCTCTTTTCCTTTGGTCATTGTTAATTTCAAACAGTATAATAATATAGCTAGATAGACTGTGCTTTCTTGAATTGCAAACACTTTAGGAAAAGGTTTGGTCTGAACTAAAAGCCGTGAAGGAGACAATCCATAGATAATAATGAAAAGGAAGCTGTGGAGATTAATGATCACCTACATTCTGAAGCGATATTGACTGTAAAACAAAACGTTACAAATGTATTACATTGTAATAACATTATTTGACTTTACCAGTACGAATATTACTATCTCACCTGAGATAATGATGAAAGGCAGAACTATCTCTTAAATGCAGTCACAGTCCACATCTTCCTACATCCTATTCGTGACCATTATTTTTGGGAGGCTCCGTTATGTTGTTCCGCATAAAAATCTCACTCTTAGCCAGTTTTTAACATAAAGAAAATGCTATTTTCATAGAGAACTGGTTTCGTTTCTAATCGATCAGAATTAAATTTATCAGAGATTTCCTCGCTGGAACAGAAGTCTTTGGAGAGGTTTTACAAGAATATTTGTGATGCGGGTTCGGATTAAAAATAGTTAGCCAGCCCCAGAGTGGTTCGTAGAAGTGATTCTGCACGCCCACGCAAGTGCATTACATTTCGTATCATAGCAGACAGCATCGTCTCTTGGAGTTTATACCATTCCTTGTTTCATAGAACGGGTCAATATTTACACGCACACAGAGATAGGAAAAGAAAGAAAGAAAGAAAGAAAGAAAGAAAGACGGGTTTAATGCATTTATTAAGTACATCTAGCTAGCTCAGTTTTTTCTATCTACGTACCTATTTCAGTCTCTTTATCTCTATCTCTCTCTCTATATATATATATATGTGTGTGTGTGTGCGTGTGTTTTTATCTCTTCCTGTTTATCTATATACCTATCACAGTCTGTTCATATCTATCTATCTCAATGTGTTTATATCTTTTTATCGCTATATCAATCGTAGTCTCTTCTTATCTATCTATCTATCTATCTATCTATCTATCTATTTCATTCTATCTCATATTATACATAGCAATATACTTGTATGCCTGTCGCTCTCCCTCTTGTTCTATCTATCTATCTATCTATCTATCTCATATTATGCATATCAGTATGCTAGTACATCTGCCTATCTCCTCCTTCTTGTTCTATCTATCTATCTATCTATCTATCTATCTATCTATCTATCTATCTCAATCTTTACATATCTATTTATGTATGTACATATGTGTTATATCAAAATATAATATATTTCGTATAATTGAAGGGATATTTTCTTATTCGATCGTTCAGTCCTCTCTCCTCTCTCTCTCTCTCTCTCCCTCTCTCTCTCCCCTCTCTCTCTCCCCTCTCTCTCTCTCCCCTCTCTCTCTCCCCCCTTAATTTCCTTAAATTTGTTTTTGGAGATACTTTAGTTATACCCTCTAAAATCTGACCCCTTTTCCCTTAATTTATGCAACCCGCCCCCACACCACTCATTGATTTAATCAGTAGTTAGCTTATCATTACTCTCTAACGAAAGCAATCTCTAAAATGTCTTTCGATTCTTTATCCTTATCCCGATTGAAGAAAATACTAGAAATTTCTAAGTAGATAAATTTACAAATCGACAATCCAATAAATACTTGGAAGAATATATTACTAATGGTTGTTAACGTCCAAACTCTTTTTTCTTCGCACGCACTTGAAAGAACCGAAGAATATTTTTACTACCTGAGCCACGGTCCCTACCTTCATCAATAACAAAGAAAATCTAACGGATTTTAAGTGGTGATCTTTTCCGTTGAAAGACAGTCACAGTGCAGCATCGCATATGTGTTTATTTATGCAAGGCTTTGCCTGGCATACCTAACGTTTGCCAGCGTTTGATTAATTCTGTTTATGTTGTCCACGTTTGTGCCTGTGCAGCACTTCTTCTTTATGTGATGTGTCTCCTCGGGACGTAGGCGATCATGGATTTCCACAACTTCCTGTTCAGCTTTTCTACGCGATTTTATGCCGTTTGGGTCTCTTCGTGCGCATCAACGTGGAGCCAACTTGTTAATTTATATATTCAGCCCATTCCAATTTATGTTACGTTTTTAAATGATTTAAAAAATACTCTGTCACGCAAATATATTTGGGTTGGAACAAAAATTTGTAACCATTTTCAATATGTGCCGTTTGAACACGTGATTTCATTTCACACGTGACTGAAATTTATGACATATATGAGATATACAGATTCTGGAAGGTAATGTTTCAAGGCGTCTTTCTGTATGTTTTTTTTAAATAGTATCAAAAGTCAACATCTTATTTTATTTTTATTTTTTTGGTTCTATTCATTTTAATTGTTTCTGCTGTTGAAAGTCCCCAAGTATTGTGGTTTCTGCTGTTTGGTACAGTTCTTTGTCAGGAAAATAGGTTTCTCAAGCCCACTAACTGTTATCGATCTTTCCAGTATTGATGACAGTTTCCTTCCTAAGCTTTTGTTTAAAGTGGTGTGGAATGTCAACATCTTCATCATATCATTATTTTCTCTTCGAGTTACATGTGCTTATCCATTTTAGTTGTTGCTGTTGCTGCAAACCTTCAGTTGACGCGATTTCTGTTATTTGACAACAGTTTCTTGCCTGTAATTACATAGCGCCAAGCGTATAAAATTTAACGACGGATAGACATCTTTAATAACTACTGGCTTCATTCGTTTGAAGTCATTTTAAATCATTGATCTAAGAAAACGGTTCTATATACAGCTAATACTTTAGGCAACTTTCAACGTCTTGGATATCATACACAACATTCATATGGGTATTTTTCAGTGTGTCTATGTCGCTACGGAATGTGACACAAGGTCGATGTTTAAAGAGGGTTTGCCGGCAATACCGTGTAAAATTTGCCCAACCCCCCCCTCGACACCTCCCCTTTTGGGTACACCCCAGGCGCCGGGCAATAAACCCAAACCCTTCCCAAAGGAGAGGTACTGGGGCTCGGACTTAATATTTTTTACTTCCCCGGCTGCAACAGGACCACGGAAAGATCCTTATGAGAAGCTCGATGTGACAAGGCTATTTAAGAACATTTTTTTTTTTTTTTTTTTTTTGTTAATGTTTTGGTGATGTAGCAATTTGTGGTACGAGACAAAGCTACTACTATCCCATGTTCAATTACCTTATCACCTATATACTAAATTGGTTATGACTTATATATACAAAGAGGTATTTGGAGTGTTTAGTAGACACTATTAATATATTCATATTTGATATTTAATAAAGATATACCCATTGACAATGACTCAAGCTGTAAAAACGCAAAATGAATAACTAAACATTCACTTCACAATGCCTCTTACTCCATTAGATTTCAAAAAGGGTTATAATACGGCAGCCTCAAATAGCACCGAACATGAAAATAACTGTAAACAATGCTTATATGTAGCTATGTTTTCGTAAAAGTTTACACCTTTAAAAGAAGAAACAGTAAATTTAATTTGCACATTAAAAGGAATCTGATAGATGTTGGTATTAATAATAATAATAATAATAATAATAATAATAATACAACGAATTACGTGAAATTACGAGAATTCAACGTGATTTAGGCCAACAGAACTTCTGCCAAGAATGGTACAACTGATAAATAGAGCTATAATATTTAATAAATCAATAAAAATCAAATTGGCCAACTCCAGAATTTTTTCGAACATCTCGTCCTGAATAGCATTTTGAAGCGAAACTCTGGAGTCGGACAATTAATCAGCAATCTTGGATCTTCGTGTCCGCACAAAAAAACGGAGTTTCAAAAAGGACAATTTTCCCCATAATACCGCTATTATTTTAACTACCTTCACTATTCGGCAATGTTGTTTTTTTAAGCGATTATTAAAATTGTAATAAAACCTAAACATATGATGAAAGTAAATTTATACATTTTTTTTGTTGTTTTTGAGAACTTACAACACGATGTTTTATTCATAAATTTATAAACATTTACTAAATTAATAAAATATGTGAACCAACTAAAAGGAAATACTTATTTACCATTTTATAAAGTTCGAATGGATTGGCAATTAGTCGATGTTTTGACAGCCATTGCTATGACCAATATAATAAATAGTGTACATAAATAATTTAATAAAGAAATAGTATTTTTGTCCATATAAGAAAATGTATAAATTCGCTTTCATGTGTTTAGGTCTTATTAATATTCTAATCATCATTTTTAAAATCTGTAAACATTGCTGAGGAATGAAGGTAGTTAAAATATTAACGATGTCAAGGGAAAAACCGCCATTTTGACATTCCGTATTTTTGAGTGCACGAAGGTTAAAGATTACCGATTAGTCAAATTAACTTTTATTGATTCGTTGATATTGGTAATATAAAGTTACTCGTTTTTACATCAATGACTGATTCTTCAGAACGCAAGCAATAAAAAATCTAACTCTATAATGAACTACTAAAATTTCCTAAGACCCTACCAATATAACAATGTTAAAGTAACTCGGCCACATCAATCAGAACCAGTAAAAAACAAAACTATGTTTACTTCATGTTCAAAATTTCTTCCTCTTCCAGGTTTTATCGCATATAAATCTCAACTTGAAAGGATCCCGAAAGCAAAGATTTCTTTCTTCTAGGTTAATGGCGCAGATCTTGTATTGAATACCAATTTTTCCCTGGTTTTATTATGTTTTATTTATTTTTAATGCGCCAAGTGTATTGCGTTATAAAATGCTTTGGAAAATAAACACAAAAGTAGAAATCTTTATGTTACACATGACTGTACGTAGATAAATCAATAACTCCAGAGTCTTATAATTAAAAATGAAACAATTATTTTACGCAAAAAATGTTCTTTAAATATAATAAAGCTAAGGCCAAAAATGTCAACATTTTTATGATAAAATGACTGGATTGTCGTTGTAATTCTGGTTTATTTTTAACGCGCAAATCCTGCTCTGAAAAAGTCTTGGTATGACGATAAACTACATCCAGCAGCAAAGCCTCTGATCGGGTGTTTTCGGGGAGCGTGGAACCACCTCTTGATTGCTATTGTTCCCAGGTCCTCCCTGACGCGGGGTGGTAGCGCTTGTTAGGGTCCTAGCTATGGGCAAATAGTTAACCCCAAAACTGGGGTCAAACCACTATGAAAGTATAAAAATGAATTTTTATAATGAAAATTACCAGCAACACATTTCTGAAAAAAAATTACCAGCATTACATCTTTGAAAAAAATTTACCAACAATACATCTTTGAAAAAAGAAATAAATATTGCCAACAATACATTTAAAAAAAATTGACTCGACAAAATCCCTCTTTCCAAAAACTACACCAATGAAAACTTATCTCCTACAAACTGATTTCTTACAAAGAATACATATTCTATTCATACGAACCTATCCTAAAAATCGTGTCGGCATTAAATAACCCATTAAGGTTGATATCCCGTAAAACATAATAAACCAAACTAAACAAAACCTGCCCTGAAAGTAATAACAAAGTGGCAAATATTTGTGCGACGGCAGTAGAGAATGAACCTTCCCATCAATAACCGATATTTTTTCTTGCCTTATTTCAGAGAAAAATAACATCTAACGTGAAAGTGCGTATAAAACAGAGAGATATCACTGAATACCTCCACGAGGAAAAATGTTTTCATTACGCTTGCTCAACGTTTATGACGACCAAACAATGGATGTGAGTACAGTTAGGGGATGGGTAATGCTCTTGTTGTTATTGAGAATGTGGAAAAACAATGGTTGAAAACTTGCTATATATATATATATATATATATATATATATATATATATATATCATTATTAAATTATATGGCTAGAATGAAACGGGGTGTAAGCTAAGGATGTGTCTTCTCACCAGAGGCAATTATGAAAGAATTAGAAGTTCTACCAGAATGTATTTTTTGGGGCGGCCACAATATTAACAGCATAAGATATGCAGATTACACAGTGTAGATAGCAGACAAAGAAAGGAAGCTACAAAACTCCTACAGAAGGTAGTGAAGGAAATCGAGAAGAAAGGACTAAACATCAATTGAAAGAAGATGGAATGTATGGTTGTTAGCAAAAGTGACACAGCCCAACAGGCAAATTACAAATTGGAGATACAAAAATCAAACAAATACAAAAATTTAAGTATCTGGGAAGTGTTTTTACAGAGGACGCAAAGTACGCCACTACAAATCAAAAGCGTATTGGGATAGCCAAAGATTCCCCCCTCCCAAAAACTAAGAGTATTAAGAAATAGAGAAATTTCTTTAGAAACAAAGAAATGAGTACAGAACTGTTACACGATATCAGTCGTCCTATATGGCAGTGGATGCTGGTCAATCTCCTCAAAGATGAAGAAGAGACATGAAGCAATAGAAATGTGGTTCTACAGAA